GGCAGCCAGGGCTGCTGGAGTATTACAGGGCTCTTGTACATCTGGGGAGATGTACAATCTCTTCCCTCTTCCCCAAAGTCCCCTCTTGGGTGGGAAACAGTGCTGAGATGTTTGTATTTTGAAATGACTTAGTATTTTCCTGGAAGGAACTTGAAACAGAAAGAGATCAAATTACATTCCAGCTCTAGGGAGTTTGGCTCAGTGGATAAAGCATTGGCCTGGAGACTGAAGGCACTTGCCTGGGTTGTGGGCTCAGTCCTGGGTAGGGGGCATGCAGGAGGCCGCAGATTAATGATTCTCATCGGTGATGTTTCTATCTGTCTCTCTTCTCTCCCTTCCCCCTCTGATATTAATACAAATATATTTTTAAAAAATTACATTTGATGGCAAATTTAAATATTTTAAATACAACCAAGATTACTTTACCCAGCAAAGCTATCATTTAGAATTGAAGATCAGAAAAAGAAGAGCTTCACAGACAAGAAAACGCTAAAGGAGTTCATCACCAACAAACAAGTATTACATGAAATGTTTAAGGGTATTCTTTAAGAAGAGGAAGAAAAAAAGATAAAAATAATATGAACCATGAAATGGCAATAAATACATATCCACCAAAAATTGAATCTAAAAATCTAAATAAATGACAAGAAATTTAATGAACAAAATAAACTGATGAATAAAATAGAATCAGAGGCATGGAAACATGAAATGAACTGATGAATCTCAGAGAAGGATCAGGAAGAGATTAGCCAAAGACCTTATATGCATATATGCATTAACTATGGACACAAACAATAGCGTGGTGAAGGCTTGGGCGGGGTGGGAACTAGATGGAGGGTGGCAATAGAGGGGGAAAAAGAGGATCATCTGTAATACTCTCAACAAAAAGATTTTTTAATAAACAAATGGGACTACATAAAAATAAAAAGCTTCTGTACAGCAAAAGAAATCATCAAGTGCTGGAAGCCGATCCACCCTGGCTGCTTGAGGCAGTCTCTGCAGGGATCTTTCAAGTAACCTTGAAATGGAGATGAGAAATGCCCTAGCCTTTGGAATGGAAGGGATGGGATTAAGATCAAATGGGATAAATGCAGATGTAAGAGGACAATAGGGGAAGGAACCTGGCTAGGAGAAGAAAGGTTGTTTCCCCAGGTGAGGATTTTTATCAGTAAACCCTTTAACTGAGTGTCAGAGGGGTGGTTGGTCACTTTGATCTTTGCTTGGAGTGACCTCCTTCAGTTACTTCCTTGTAGCTTAGTGGAACAATAGAGTAACCTTTGAATGGAGTTGGGAAGCCCCCTGGCCTTTTGTATAGAATGGATAGGATTGGGACCAAATAGTATATATACAGATGTGAGATGACAATAAAGAGAGGAACCTGGCTATGATGATCACCTGAACACTGTCTCCGTGTCATTCATTCTTCGCCGACTCCGTCCACACCTTTGGGAACCCCTGGACCCACTGGGGCTGGACCCCAGCAATCAAGAAAACAACAAGAGAGACCAGTGCATGGGAGAACATATTTGCCAATGTTATATCCAATGGGTTTAAACTCCAAAATTTATAGGGAACTCATACAACTAACAAAAGGAAGATAAACAATCCAATCAAAAAATGGGCAAAGGACTTAAATAGATACTTTTCCAAAGTGGACATACAGAAGGCCAGGAGACATATGAAAACATGCTCAAAGTCACTAATCATCAGGAAGATGCAAATCAAAATGACAATGAGATACCATCTCACACCTGTCAGAATGGCTATCAACAAACAACATGTGCTGGTATTTCTGAAGCTCATCTGACATGTATCTCCACATGAGGATGTAAAGAAAAAGGAAGCCTTGTGCCCTGCTGGTGGAAATGCAAACTGCTGCAGCCACTGTAGAAAACAGTATGGACTTTCCTCAAAACATTAAAAATGGAACTCCCATTTGACCCAGTAATCCCACTTTTAGGAATATATCCCAAGAAACTAAAACACCAATCAGAAATGATATATGCACCTCTATGTTCCTAGCAGCACAATTTATGATAGCTAAGATTTGGAAACAGCCTAAGTGCCCGTTAGCAGATGAGTGGATTAGAAAACGGTGGTACATCTACACAATGGAATACTATGCTGCTGTAAAAAAGAAAGAACTCTTACCATTCACAACAGCATCAGCATGGATACTGGAGACCATTATGGTAAGCAAAAAGTCAGTTGGAGAAAGATAAATATCACATGATCCCACTCATTTGTGGAATATAATGAATAACACAAATTAAAGATAAAAAATAGATCCAGAGACATAGAAGCATTGATCAGACCGTCAAACCTCAAAGGGAACACAGGGGAGGAAGTGGGAGGGGCGTAAGAGATCAACCAAAGGACTTGTATGTGGGTATATAAGCATAACCAATGGACACAGACAGTAGGGGGGTGAGGGCATGTGAAGGGGGTTGGGGGCAACTAGGGAGAAGTCATTGGGGGGAAAAGGAGACATATGTAATACATTAAACAATAAATATTTTGAATTAAAAAATTTAGAGATAAAGATTTCACATCAGTCAAATGAGGGCTTCAACGTGAATGAAGGCCTTTATGGGAAATAAAGGAGGCATCATTTTGCATCTCTGAGTCTTCCTTTGCAAAATGCAATCCTTGCCCATGATCTGCCCCGGGGCTGGCCTTAGACTATGAACTCCCTGTGTCTATGGAGAATCTATGTTCATGGTGTCCAGATTCCCCTGGCAGAGGGCAGGGGTAGCATGAAGTGTTGGCAGGGGCCAAGCCCTACACATCCAGCATCCCCTGAGCCAGGCACAGGCAGCTTGGAGAGTGTCAGATGAACCACCCTGAGCAGACAGTTGACACTTTGCTAAGGGTCAAGGCTGGAGAGAAATAACACTTCTAGGTACCTGTTTCCACCGGACGGAAGAAACATCCCTTTGACAATGATCTGATGTCCATACCGGAGGGTGTACCGGTCACCCCCTTGTGTGAGCCTAAAGAAGGGGATAACCTGCAGGGAGAAGAAGGCAGTCAGTTAGGGCCCTGCTCCTTCTGTCTGATCCCTCTGGCACTTGCTAGTGGCCGGCCTGGTGTGTTGGGCAACAGGCCAGGGGCCGGATTCAGCTGTAAATTGGGCATAAGGAGTCTCAGTCTTGTGGATCTTCCCATCTGTGAGGAAGCCGACTTGGATCCGGGGAGTTACGCGTTCATTCTGAGACTGATAAGGAGACCCCCGGGCTCTGAGACGATGTGCCCCAGAGCTGACCTCTCTTAAGGGGAAGGAGCAGCTTTCAAGAGGAGGAAGTAGCATGAACATGGCCCTGAGAGGGGAAGGAACCAGGGTAGTGAGCGGTGCTCCTGGACGACAGGCCAGGCTCTTCGGAAAGACCCAGAGCCCTGGTTGAAAACTCAGAAACCCAAGGGACCAAAGAAGCCAGCAGCCTATTCCAAAGGATAAACCTTCTGCTCCCTGAGAAGGCCAAGAAGAAGGCATCCTCCTGCCCACCCCGCCACAGAACGGTGTGACCATGACCTTTGTCCTCCCAGCCACCTCAGGTAGCACCTGGATGCTCTGTTTCCTCTCCTGCTCCTGCTCCCAGTCCCTCCCCAGGCCCTGGGCAACCTCCAAGGCCCTAGTGAGGTGTTCGCACTCCTCCTCGGCCCCATAGAGCCCACTTTGTCCAATGCCCTTCCCGGGCCATTTGAAAGGACAATGGTTATGGTGATGCTGGCATCGTTTTAGAGCCAGGCATCATCCATGTTTGGAGCCTAATTCTGCTGCTCATTTCCTGGGTGACCTCAGGAAGCTCATGTCACCTCTTTTGCCTCAGTTTCCTCATCTGTAACATAGGGATACCTCCTACCTTCTGCGTAAGATCAACGATTTAGTGAGAAAAAGTCTGGGGATGAGATTGGCACATAGTAGGTGTCTCTATCGCACCCTTCCCTCTTGGTCTCTCTGAGCAAAATTCCACATTGGTTTCTTCATGACTTTTAAGCTAACCTCCAGGATGCCTTTTATTTGATGTGCTCTTAACCTGCACTAACCTATGATAAAACTTTCAGCTCCTAGTCAATCTTCACATTTCTCTAGTAGCTAACGTCTTCTCTAACTTCTCCTTTAAGCCAGCTCCCTACAGAACTGAAATGCTTATAGGAGCCAGGCAGGTGATGTGTAGGAGGGAGATTGTCAGGTAGGGGCAATAGGGAGTGGCAGAGACCATGACAAAATAGACACCATCTCTCTCATCTAAAGGGACAACATCCTCTCACCTCTAACCTGGACAAATTAATTAATTTAGATGGATTAACCCCTCTGTGGGTCAGAGCTTGCTCTCAGCTCCTGGCCAGGCCTGGAGGCTGAGGACTCTTTCCCCCTCTTCCTTTCTGGAGGCCCAGTGTCCCCGGCGGGCACCCAGCCACAGCTGGCACAGGGGGCTCACTGCAGGGCCAGTGGGAGCCTTCCAGGCAAAGAGGCTGCTGCCCCAAGGGTTCTGAGGTGCTTCTGGGCCCATTTCCCTGGCTGTTCCTAGTTGTCCTGGCAACAGCCCTGGCCATTATCAGGGCCACCCCTACAGATGAGGAGACTGAGCACAGAAGGTCTGGTAACTTGCCCAAAGCCACCCAGCTGGTCAGTAATAGGGTGGGGTTGGGTCCCAGCACCCATGCTGTGAAGCCCCACACAGGCTGCTTCTCAGGATGAAGCACAGACCTCCTGGCTCCTGGCTCCCTGAGGGCTTCCCCCACCAAACAGCGAGTCCTGTCCTGCCTGTGGTTCCAGCTTCCACCCTGGCCTCTGAGGAGGCTGGGCCAGATCAGGCCGGTGGGGCTTGGCAAGGAATGGGGCTGAGGCCCTCAGGGCAGACCCTCGTGGTGTTCAGCTGGTCCTCAGAACAGCCAGGCCGGGGCCTCTTCCTGGCACATGTTGGAGGAAGAGGGAGGTGAATGCTGACGGATGGAAATCACTGGTCACCCGGGAGAGGGTGACCACGTGGGGTGGATGGGCTCTGCTCACACCTCTGGCGGCTACACCCATCCCTTTCTTGTTTGTACCCCTAGGCCCTGTTTGAACTCTGCCACACAAGCAGGATTTTCATTCTAATTTGAAACAGCTGGCATTTGAATCCAAGGTCTGAAAAGTAAAAACCAATCACCAAGATAAGAAAATGGCAGTGCCTGGAAGGAGGCTGGGA